TTTATTTTATTTTTTATTTTTTGACCATTTATAATTTTTAATTATTATTATACTTATTTATTAATAATTATGTTTAGATTTCCATATATGTAAGGAAATAAAAATAACTCAAAAAAACTTGACATTTGCAAAAGAAAGCCAACATTAATACAAAAATAACACCACAAATTTAATCAAATAAATTAAAGCATGAAAATAAATTAACATAATATATGGAAAAAATAAAAATATAAGTATAAAATTACTTCCAAAATGCTGCCCCATTATTCACCAAAATAATCAACCTTGAAAATGAAAAATTAAACCATTAGTAGAAGCACCAAAATATATATAGAAGATAATAGAAAATAAAGAGAAATTTACATTATCGAATAATAAAAGAAAATTAATGTAAAAGATTAACTTGATTTTTTCATGTCAAATTATCATATTCGTATTCAATCTTTTGAACATACAGATCTATCTGGCTTTAGAAAGATAAAATAAAATAAAGTAAGAAAAGAAACAGACTTTGAGGATTCCAATTGAGAAAGTTGAGAGCATTTGAGTGTCAAGGAAAAAGAGATGGGCTACGGCCTTAACTCTTAAAACACTGCCCCAACCCAATCTTCCAGAGTGGAAACACCTAAAAAAGCTGTTTTTATTTTTATTTTTAATCCTTTTGGTCGTTGAGACTGAGATAAGAAAAGGGTTAAATAAACCCTAATTATCAAAACAATGTATAGGATGCAAATGCAAATAATAAAAGATACACAAATGCACACCTATCGATCTCTACCCAAAAAAAGAAAAAACCACACCTAGGGATTCTGATATTGGGTTTGAACTTTGAACGTGCTTGTTACTCGGTAGTCGGCCTCAATTGAACCGAGAGTGGGTGGAAGTAGGGTTGAGCATCGGGTACAGGTATATCTGATATTTGTGGGTACTTAATTTTTTTAAATAAATATTTTACTTGTATTTATAAAGAGATAAGTAAGTACTTAGTATATCAACGTGGGGTTGGATCAAGTGGTAAGCGGCTTGTTCCAGCTTAAGCAAGGTCTCGAGTTCGAGTCCTTGTGTATGCAGCAGCTCCCGCTGGGAGACTCACCCACCATTTCTAGGTGCGCGACACGGGTCGGGTCCGGATTAGTCGGGGTGAAGCTCTGGATACCGGGCGGGAAACCAAAAAAAAAAAAAAAAAGTAAGTACTTAGTATAAAAAATGTACACATGTTAAATATCGGATAAGTATTGGGTATGAGGATCAATACCTGCATACCTGACCTGTATACATGATCCATATACTTAACTTGTATATCTGACTCATATACTTAATTAAGAAATTAGCTTTAATTTGAATCCAATTGCTATTGACTAGTAAGTTAAGCGACTCAAGCCAAACCCATCTACAACTAAGAAATCAGAAGGAAATTAAAGAAAATTTAAATGACTTGAGCTGAGGGCCTATACATCAAAGAAGATATGATATATTTGCTCTGCGTGGGAGAACTGGAGAAGACTTATTCATGGCCTAAGATGTACATTTCTTAGCTTATCTTACTCTAAAGAGATAACAAGAGATAACATTTCACATGCCAAAATCCTTATTAATCA